ATTGAATTTTTATAAAGAATTTTATCAACAAATTTTTAAATAATTCAAATTCTCTTGACAAATTTTAATAAACATTTTTAAGAATAATTTCATTTTTCAAAAAATTGTGTTAAAAATAATTGAAATTCTGCCAAAAATTTTATTCAAAATTTTTAAAAATAATTGAATTTTGTAGAAAAAATTTAGTAAAATTTTTGAAAATAATTGAATTTTGGAGAAAAATTGTAGTAAATTTTTTGAAAGTAATTGAATTTTGGAGAAAAATTTTATAATTTATAAAAATAATTGAAATTTGGTGAAGAATTTTATTAAAATTATTTTTGAAAAAAATTGAATTTTGGAGATAAATTTTAGTAAAATTTTTGAAAATAATTGAATTTTGGAGAAAAATTTTATAATTTATAAAGATAATTGAAATTTTGTCAAGAATTTTATTAAAATTATTTTTAAAAAAAATTGAATTTTGGAAAAAAATTTTATTAAAATTTTTGAAAATAATTGAATTTTGGAGTAAATTTTATAATTTATAAAGATAATTGAATTTTGGAGAAAAATTTTATTAAAATTTTTGAAAATAATTGAATTTTGTTGAAAAATTTTATTAAATTTTTTGAAAATAATTGAATTTTGGAGAAAAATTTTATAATTCATAAAGATAATTGAAATTTTGACAAGAATTTTATTAAAATTATTTTGAAAAAAATTGAATTTTGGAGAAAAATTTGATTAAAATTTTTGAAAATAATTGAATTTTGTTGAAAAATTTTATTAAATTTTTTGAAAACAATTGAATTTTGGAGAAAAATTTTATAATTTATAAAGATAATTGAAATTTTGACAAGAATTTTATTAAAATTATTTTGAAAAAAAATTGAATTTTGGAGAAAAATTTGATTAAAATTTTTGAAAATAATTGAATTTTGTTGAAAAATTTTATTAAATTTTTTGAAAATAATTGAATTTTGGAGAAAAATTTTATAATTCATAAAGATAATTGAAATTTTGACAAGAATTTTATTAAAATTATTTTGAAAAAAATTGAATTTTGGAGAAAAATTTGATTAAAATTTTTGAAAATAATTGAATTTTGTTGAAAAATTTCATTAAATTTTTTGAAAACAATTGAATTTTGGAGAAAAATTTTATAATTCATAAAGATAATTGAAATTTTGACTAGAATTTTATTAAAATTATTTTGAAAAAAATTGAATTGTTACGAAGACTTTCATTAAAATTATTGAAAATAATCTAATTCTTTAAAGAAATTTTATTAAAAATATATTAAAATAAATAAACTTATAATTTGAAATAAATAAACTCTAGCAAAGATTTTTAAAAAAATTATATTTCTTTGATAAATTTTAATAAAATTTTTAAGAATAATAACATTTTTCGAGGAATTCCATTAAAATTTTATATTGAAAATAATTGAATCCCTGTAAAGAATGTTATTATTTAAATAATTGAATAATTATTTATGAAAATTATTTATAAAAATTGCAATGTTTGCATAGTTTTATTAAAATTTTTTTTTTAAACTAATTGAATTTTTTTGGGAATTATTATTGAAGTAGTAGAATATTAAAAATCATTAAATTGAAGAAAGTTTTTGAAAATAATTAAAATTTTTGAAAATAATTGAATTTTTACGAAGAATTTTATTAGTTTTGAAAATAATTGAATTTCTATTTCTACTTTTTTCTACTCTTTTACATTATGAATTTATTCTCAAATTTTTGTCAAATTTTCTACAATTTTATTCCACTTTCTAATTTAATTTAATTTTTTTTTTCTTCATATTTTCCCATTTTAAGATTGAAATTTAATTTGTCCCAATTTCTATAATTTATTATCTACATAATACTATAAATACCCACAAATTTGCTTCTGATACATTTTTTTCTCTCTCTTTTCTTCCCCATGTTCTATTTTTTGTTTTCTTTCAAAGAAAAAATAGGATTAAAAGTATTCCCTTTTATACAAAGTCTCTCAATTGCGTGTGAGAGACAGAGAGAGTGGATTATCAAAGTATTTTCTCTTTAAACTTGTTTTGAAATATCCCCCTTTGTAATTCGCGTTAAGGTCTTATTGTGTATAAAGTTAGTAAGACATATTTATAAAAAAAAAAAAAAATGAGATGAAAAAAAGTGAAGTCGATACAAGATGAGCTATACGTATATTGTAGTGGAGTTGCACAGCCCTCGGGAGTATATTACTTGGGGTTGCCCTCGACCCCTTTGTAGCATTACACGCGTATTGCATTACGACGTTAATCAGAAACCCCTGGCTAGATACGCATCACAGTGACAATAGGAATGACAGGCATTCTCTTCTCTAATTGACAACTCAAAAGGGAATCTCCACCCGATTGTCTTCAATCTTACTCTCTATCTATCTCTCGGTCAATCATTCACTCACTTATTTAAACACCCTGCTGCCCCCCCCCCCTCTCCACTCTACTGTGAAAATAAATAAAATAATTTTTTTTCTAATTTATTTAAATAATAATAAAAATTTTAATAAATAATTATAATGATAAAAGAAGAACACAAATAAATAAAATAATTTTTCTTCCTAATTTGTTTAAACAATATTCGAACATTAAATAAATCATTATAATGATAAAAAAAGAAAACAAATAAATAAAATAATTTTTCTTCTAATTTGTTTAAACAATAATAAAAATTTTAATAAACAATTATAATGATAAAAAAAGAAAACACATAAATAAAATAATTTTTTTTCCTAATTTGTTTAAACAATAATCAAACATTAAATAAATAATTATAATGATAAAAAAAGAAAACAAATAAATAAAATAATTTTTTTTCCTAATTTGTTTAAACAATAATCAAACATTAAATAAATAATTATAATGATAAAAGAAGAAAACAAATAAATAAATTAATTATTTGTTTAGTTGCTTCTTTATTTGTTTACTTATTTGTTTATTCTATTATTGGAGAAATATTTATTTGTTAATAACAAAATAATAATAGTAATAATAAATTAATAACAAAATTAATAAATTAATAATAAAACAAAAACAAATAAATGGAAAACACTTTAATAAATAATTAAAAACGTTAATAAATTAATAAGTTAACAAATAAATAAATAAATAAATAGGTAAACAAATTAATAAACAAAAAAGTAAGCAATTAAATAAACAAATAAATAAGCACTGAATCTAATAAGCAAATAATAAAACAAATAAGTAAATGAATGAACAAATTTGTATGTAGAAAATAACAAAATAATTTAAGTAAATAAATATATAAATAAACGTCTATTTAATAAGCAAATAAATAAATAAACATTTATTTAATAAACAAATAAATAAATAAACATGTTTCCAATTAGCAAATTTTCTTATTTGTTATTAATTATTATTAATTAAGAAATAAATAACAAACTGATTAAAATAAATTTATAAATAAATGAATAAACAAATAAATAAACAAATATGTAAGCAAGTAAATAAACAAACAAAGAAGTAAAAAAATACATAAACCATTTAAATAAACATTATCATAAATACATAAATAAATATAAAAATAAGCAAATAAGTAAGCAAATAAATAAGGACGTAAATAAACAAATAAAAATGTTTCCAATTAACAAATTAATTAATAAACAAATAAATAAAGAAATATGTAAGCAAGTTAATAAACAACCAAAATAGTTAATACAAACATAAATCATTTAAATAAAAATATAAATAATTAAGCAATTAAGTGAACAAATGAGTAAGCACGTAAATAAATAATATTAACAAACATACATTTAATAAGTAAATTATTAAATAAACAAATAATTAAAGAAATTATTAAGCAAATAAATAAACAAATAATTCAACCAATTTTTAAGCAAGTAAATAAACAAATAAGTAAATAATAATTAAACAATTTTTTAAACAAATAAATAAACCAATAAATAAACAAATAATTAAACAAATAATTAAACAAATTTTTAAGCAAGTAAATAAACAAATAAGTAAACAAATAAACATACTTTTTAATTAGTAAATAAATTAATAAACAAATAAATAAACAAATAAGTTAACAAAAATTGAGTGCATATAAACAAATATAAAAATGAATTAAAATTAATAAACAAAAAAAAATAAATAAATAAAAGATAAACATTTAAGTTCATAAAATAAAAGTTAATAAATATTGTAATTGTGTTATTTTTATTTTTTATTTATAAATTTATTATTTAAAATTGTTATTTAACATTATTTTATATTATAATAATAAAATAAATTTAATGAATAAATAGAAAAAATAATTTAATTAATAAATAATTTAAGTAATTAGAGTAATATATTATAAATAAATTGAAAATAATTCATTATAAAAAATCCTTTCTGTATAATTTACCTCTATTTAATTTTTTAATTAATTTTCAAAAGTAGATAATAAAAAACTACTTAAACTCGCATTTAAAATTCTATATATTTATTGCTTCAACATTAACATTCGAGTACATTTTGCTGCTTAAAAATAATAATAATAAAAAATAATTAAACAAAATAAAACAGTATGATAATAGTAATAATAAAAAAATAATAATGATAATAATAATAAAGATCAAAATAATAACAATAATAGAAATAAATAACATAATAATTATCTTTCATAACAATAGAAATAATGCAATAATAATAATAATAATTTTCATAATATTTATAATAATAATAATAATAAAAATTTTAATAATTTTAATAATTTTAATAATTTTAATAATATTTATAATAACAATTGAAAAATTAATATTGATGCCAATTTTTTAATAATTTATCCTCTTATGTTAATTTAAAAAAGAAATTTATTGTTAATTATATAAAAAGGAAAAAAACAAAAATTTTCAATCGAATTATTTCGAGGTCAAAAATTGTTAAAAAAACAATTTTGCAAAAAATATTGTGAATTTACAAATATACATTTTGGAATATTGAAAAAAATACATAATTGGAATTTTTTTTCTTCTCTTCTCAGGATAAAAAATAAATGCATCTATCAATGTTGAATTGTCAAAAAATAAAAATTTTTTTTTTCTGCTGTCTCTTTTCTCACGTCATTCTGTTGTTAATTTTCCACTTGAATATAAAATTCCCCATCCATCCAAAAAGTGTTGATTCGATTTTCTGGAAAAATAATATTTTTCCTTTCATTCATATAACTTTTGGAAAAAGTAAACATTGCCGTTAGAATGTGTGATACTATTTATTACAATTTAATAAATGAAAGAAAAGAAGAAAAATTTCGTTGCTTAACGAAATTAGTATTGAATTATAATAAAATTAATTCATTTTGTTGTAATTAAAAATTTGTTTTTTTTTATTATTTTGTTTATTGCCTTATTTATTATTTCATTTATTATTTTATTTAGTATTTTGTTATTTTATTTACTATTTAATTTAGTATTTTATTTATTACTTTATTTATTATTTTATTTAGAATTTTGTTAATTATTTTATTAATTATTTTATTTATTATTTTATTTAGTCTTTTGTTTATTACTTTATTTATTATTTTGAAAATTCTTATTATTATTATTTAAAATTATTATTATTATTTATTATTTTATTTAGTATTTTGTTAATTATTTTATTCACTATTTTATTTAGTATTTTGTTTCTTACTTTATCGTTTATTTATTATTCTATTTTCTATTTTGTTTATTACTTTATTTATTATTAATTAATTAATTATTATTTTCTTTAGACATTTTTTTACTAGTTTTCTTTCATTATCACTTTATTTCACATTTTTATTATTTTATTTAGTATTTTGTTTATTTTCTATTTTATTTTCTATTTTATTTTCTATTTTATTTTCTATTTTGGTTATTACTTTATTTATTATTAATTAATTAATTATTATTTTCTTTAGACATTTTTTTACTAGTTTTTTTTCATTATCACTTTATTTCATATTTTTATTATTTTATTTAGTATTTTGTTTATTTTATATTTTATTTTCTATTTTGGTTATTACTTTATGTGTTATTAATTAATTATTAATTATTTTTTTTTAAATGTTATTTACTAGTTTTTTTTTCATTATCACTTTATTTTATATTTTTATTTTTTTTATTTAATATTTTGTTTATTACTTTATTTATTATTTTATTTAGTATTTTGTTAATTATTTTATTCACTATTTTATTTAGTATTTTGTTAATTATTTTATTCACTATTTTATACAGTATTTTGTTTCTTACTTTATTTACTATTTTGTTTATTACTTTACATATCATCAATTAATTAATTAATTAATAATTATTTTATTTAAAATTTTGTTTATTAGCTTTTTTTCATTATCACTTTATTCCATATTTTTTCTCCTTTTATTTAGTATTTTGTTTATAACTTTATTTAATTTATTGTTTAATTTAATTTAATAAATAAATTAATTATTAATAATTATTTTATTAAACATTAAAATGATTATTTACAGAAACTTAAAAAAAAATTATTTTTTCTTAATTTCTTACCTTCTCTTTTGATTCGTCAAAAAATTTTCTCTTTTCTCAAGGAAAATTGCAAAATAAAGGAAAAAAATTTCCTCTTCTGTCGATAAATAGAAAAAAAAATATTTTCTCGTCAATTTTTATTAATTCTTAATTTTTCGTCTGTGATTTTTTTTTCTCTTCGTTGAATTTTTTTTTTGGAGGGGGGGGGGAGAGGGAGAAAAGCTACTAATCTATGAAAAATCTTATTCTATTGGATGCAATTGGATTATTTTGATAGAAAAATTTTGTCTCAAGTACAATATCGCCATTAAATATTTCCACTGGTAATTTCAATAGTTCAGGTGCAGTTAATGTACGTTCACCAACACTACTCGATTCAAATGACCATTCATTAAATAAACGATCTTTTAAAAATAATTTTTGCTCCATTCGAAACCAATTCATTGGTCTCACTGTGGAAAAATTCACTTCACGTATTATTCGTCCACATGTTTTTGGCATCCATGCACGTAATTCCTCATTTGGAAATGTTAAATTATCACTAGCCTCCCATATTATTTCTGCTGATTTTGCCTCACGCAATTTCATCCAATGTATCTTAAAGCCAATTGGATTTATTAATGACGTTTGCTGCGGCATTTTCTCCAGGATGAATGTTGATTTTTTACACTTTTTTTTACAATTTTTTACAATCTTGGTAAATTATTTCTTCACTCTTTATATTTTTCTTTCTTTATTTATTTTATTTAATAATATATATTTTTTCAATTTTCTACTTTTATAATTTGAATATATATATTTATTTATTTTCCACTTTCTACTTTTATTATTTGAATATATTTTTGTTTCTATTTTGTTTATTTTTATTTATTTACTTAATCAATTCTTTTTTTTATATACTTTTTGGTTTTCTTTTCTTTTTGTTTTTATTATTATTTTTTTTTTTTTGAAAACCTTATTCTTCGAGAAAAATTGACAGACTGATATGATTTTCTGAATAATTAGGTGTCATTATGGTGAAGACTAATTGTAACTTTGGGAAAGGGGAAGGTGGGGGGGGCGATCAAGAGTGGGGAAAAGACCCAAATTTTTCTCCTCCCCCCCACCCTTTGGTTATTTTAAAATCGTCGATTTTGAAAGTCACGTTCGTCAAATAGTAATTTTTCAAACAATAATGATTTTCTAATTATCCAACTTTTTATTTTCTTTGTTTATTATTTTCTTTAATATTAGTTAATGCTTTTTTATTTATTTCCATTCTTTCTTTACAATTATCTTTAAATAAATTTTTTTATTTTTCATTATTTTATTTAGTTTGTTTTTTCTTTTTTTATTGTTGTTATCATATTATTTTATATTGTTGTTATTATATTATTTTATATTCTTGTTATTATTTATTTTTTTTACTTTTTTATTACATATTTTCTTTATACAATAAATAAATAAAAAAATAAAAAAATAAATCAACAAAAAATAAATAAAACAAAAATAATTATAATAATAGTTAATTTTATCTGGTATTGAATAAAAATTTTCTTTATATTATAATCAATGAACAATAGTTGACTGTTTAAGAGCAATTTCTTGTTTATAAATATTACAAAGAGGTATTCAAATTATTTGTAATATATTTATAGATGATAATGAAAACTTTTGTATTCATTATATTGACATTGAGAATAATGTGTGTGTTAAAAAGAAATTTTGTAACAAAATTAAAAATTTATTTGAAACATTTTGTAACACTTTTTTCTGTTATAAATTATATATGATATCTATAAGAATATGTATAATAATTAGCGTTTAAATAGTTTAAAAGTAAAGCATTTTTAATTTGAATTTAATTGACTCCTACAAATTTAAATTTAATTTATCTTTTTTTTTGTATTGTTCATTTTTCAAAAACGAGAATTTAGTATTTTTGATAAATATTTTTTTATTAATTTGTTATAAATATAAATTTATAAATTTGTTGTTAATATTTTTGATAAATATTTTTTATAAATTTGTAATAAATATTTTACCAATATTTCTTTGTAAATGTTTTATAACCATTTTTTGTCATTTTTTCGTAAATACTTTTTTAGAAATATGTTTTAGAAATAATATTTTTCAATTTTTTTATGAATATTTTCATCACTTTCAAAAAATTTTTAAATCATTTTTTTTATTTCTCTAAACAAACATTGCTTTTTCCCAATTTGTATATATGAAAACACGAAAAAAGGAGAATTCTATTTTTATATGAAGCAAAAAAAATAATTTTTTTATTTACTGATTTTGTTTTCAGAAAAGAGAAAGTTCACTTTTTTAAAAATTTTTTATAATTCTTTTTATAAATTTATTTATTTAAGTTCTTATAATAAATATAAATTAAATATAATTATATTTATAATATACATATCTAATTAATTAATTTCATTCATTAGTCATACAATTAATTTAAAAATACAAATTAACTTTTTGAAATGTAAAATAATTTTACAATTTAATTTTTTTTATGTACCTTTTTTATTTATTTTATGTCATTTTTAATTAAAGAAGAAGTTTTAGTTTTAATTTTTATTGTTGTAACAGACAGAATTTTATATAGAAATAATATTTCCGCGAAACAGAAAGATAGGAATCGGTGAAATTAAAATTTAATTTAATTAGTTGAGTAAAAAATAGAAATTTAATATTTTAAAAATAAATACATTTTTTTAAAGCGAGAGAGTTTTTTTTTATTTTTTATTTTAGAGAAAAATATTTTTAGTTATTTTCAAAATGTTTGTCTATTTTTTTTATGAATAGAGTTTTTTGTTTAATAAAAAATAAGAGTGAAAGATTAAAAAATTTTTCATTTTTAGAGGAACATTATTTTATTTGTATATATTTATTTTATTAGTTTTAATTTTTTTATAGATAAATAAATTTTTTTATCCCTTTGATACCAAAACTTTTTTTTATAAAAATCCATCAAGTATTTAAAATATGTCCATCATATTAGATCCGCCATTTTGAATTTCGAAAAACCGATGTTATATTCGTAATCAGCGACCCCAAAAACCCCCGGGTAACAAGTTCCAATCGATCCGATCAATTTCTAAAATCCGTCCGCCATATTGGATCCGCCATTTTGAATTTTGAAAAACCGATGTTATATTCGTAATCAGCGACCCCAAAAACCCCCAGGTAACAAGTTTCGAACGAATCCGATCAATTTCTAAAAATTCGTCCGCCATATTGGATCTGTTATTTTGAATTTTGATAAACTGATTTCATATTTGTAATTAGCGATCCGAAAAACCCCTAAGTAGTAATTTTCATTAGCTTAGCTTTATTTAATTTCCGATTTTGTAATTTTTTTGTTCAAAGTTTTCATTTGCTTATGACCGTTATCGTCAGAAATCGTCAGATGGTAGGGTGGGGGGTGAAAAGAATTATGGTGGGAAATATGATAGTTATGTTCTATTTCCCTAGAGTGGGGGGGAATCCCGCAATCACAGAGGTTTATCGTAAACAAAATTAAATTTTATAAGTAAACAAATTTTTATTTACTAAAGAGAGGGAGAGAGAGAGAGAGAGAGAGAGAGAAAAGGAGTCAAGGGGGAGTTAACTAAAGTGAATCGTCGCATTATCCGCTTTTGTGGAGGAAACTGTAATTTCGGACTAATCTGCGGCTGTAGTGTCCAGGTGGTCGTGAATCGGTTTCGAGGCGCCAAGTTTTCGAAACGAGAGAGGGAGAGAGAGAAAGAGAGAGTGTAAAAGCTGGAGAGAATTTCCTAGACGAGGAGAGAGAGAGAGATAGTCAGTAAGAGGTAAAGAGACAGAGAGGAAAATAGAGAGAGAAGCAGAGAAAGTGAGAGAGAGAAGAAGGAGAAGAGAGAGAGAGAGTGAGTGAGAATAAGAGACGCGAGACGTATTTGGCGGAAAGCGGAAATCGGACTAACTTTGTCCCCCAGGATGCCACTTTGCATCCGGCGAATATGACCTCCAGTCATCGTAGTCGTCGTTGACTGTCGTCGCCAAACTGCGAGACTGAATTACTGATGCAAATAAACCAACCGCACCACCTTCTTGCCAAGATTGAATCCATTCCTTCGAATCTCGAACGAAATTCCTCTCATAAAGCTTCCTCTTTCTTGTATGCTCCTCACAATTTTCCAAAATTACACTTCTGATGATGATTTCTCCTTTTTATTTTCTTCTTACCCAAAATTGATGATAATTATTCTCTTCCACATTTCTCTTCTTCTCAAACATCTTTAATTACTGCTGGAAAACTATCATCTACGCAATTATTAATCTCCTAGGTAATTATGAACCACCTATGCAATTATTAATTATCTAATAATCTATGCAATTTATTTGGGCTTTTGGTTTGGTTGTTTAGAGTCCCTTGGTTGTGTTTTTATTGAAGAAGTGAAATTGCTTCGACTCATGGATGTCACTTGGTGTACTTTATTGTTTGGGGTGAGGGAAGGATCAATTGGTAATGGAGTTCAGTTGTTTTGCAGATTTCGTGGCGAACGGGTCAGTTTTCAAGAGTGGGATTGGAGCTCTTGCCAGTAGAAGTTACCTAGGAAAGAAAATTTACATTTAGGTATTCTTGTCACTGAAACATATCGGATTAAAAATTATCAGGTATTCTTGCCACTAAAACATACCGGATTAAGAAATTATTAGGTATTCTTGCCACTAGAACATACCGGACTAAAAAAATATTAGGTATTCTTGCCACTAGAACATATCGGATTAAAAATTCCCTTTTTGTCCTACCTGCACGAAAAGTATGTCATTTCGGGCACTTAAAGTGGGCGCAAAGTAACTGATTCTCGCCCGGGGTCGGGGAAGCGGGCGCAAAAGTTCTTTTATGCCCGCTGACGTCACACAAGCGGGCGCAAAAGTACTTTTACGCCCGCTTGCTGTACTTTTGCGCCCGCTTCGCTCGTGCCCTCAATGCCATACTTTTCATGCAGTTAGGACAAAAAATTATGTTCGCAACATGGGCGCAAAGGTGATTACGACTTTGGCGAGATTATCAGGTCATCTTAGCTTTAAAATATTTGGGAGCAAAACCCATTACGTATTCTTGCTACTAGAACATACCGGATTAAAAACTGTCATGTATCCTTGACACTGGAACATATCGAATTAAAAAATCATTAGGTATTCTTGCCACTAGAACATACCGGATTCAAAAGTTATTAGGTATTCTTGCCACTAGAACATATCGGATTAAACATTTACATTTAAAAAAATTTTCGTTCAGTAGAAACATAATCTTTCTCCATAAAATTTTCAGTTCCAATTGTTCTAAAACCTCTGACAATGTTGGAACTTCTAGAGAATTGTTGTGTTGCTACAGAAAATTAGTGTCATCAAGAATTTTAGATCCAGTTTTTTTTTAAACCAACTCGTTTGAGGATTTTTCATCTTATCACAAAAAATTAGTTGCATCAAGAATTTTAGATCCAATTGTTCGCAAACCGCTCGGAACTATTAAAGAATTTTTTTACTGCTGCAGAATATTACTTTCATCAAAAAGTTTACATCAAGTTGTTCTACATCCGCATACAATATTCCAATAATTTTCGGTTTGCTCTAAAACATTAATGTCATCTAAAATTGCAAGTTACATTAATCTGAAAACTTTGGGAATATATAATGTATTGCTTCCTCATAGAGGAAGTATTTTAAGTTGCGCTCGAAACTTACTTTCATCGAAAACACATCGCATTAGATTGTTTCCTACACTATATGATTATTGTCCACAGACTTTTGAAACACACGATAAAGTTTCCTCTCGATCAGTACCATTAGTATCATTAAGAATTTAAGGTCGAAGTTGTTCTTTAAACTTTTAGAATGTTGCGAAAAAAATTTGTCCTTCTTCCGGAACATTTGCTTCGACAGAAATTTTTATCTGTTTGTTGTAAAACAGTTTTGAAGATTTACGAAATATTTTTGTAGCTGCAGAACATTCATATCATGAAGAAATTTAGTATTTTAATTCTAATATCTTACGTCTAATTACGTCAACTAATTGATGATTTGGACGATTGTCTAGGTCATCAATTAGTTGACGTATTAGACGAAAAATTGCCCAGGTCATCAATTAGTTGACTTAATGGAGTCAAAGATGTTTATGCTACTAGAAAATACCATAAGTAAAAATTACTGTATTAATTATAACCTAGGTTATAATTACATCAATTAGCTGATTTATTTTAGGAGAGGTATCCAATTTCGTGTACAGATGATTATCTAGGTCATCAATTAGCTTCAGAATTTAAGGAAAGGTGTGTTTGCGAGTGCATCATACCGGAAGTAAAAATTATTATATCAATGATAACCAGGGTCGCCAATTGGCTGATAAATTTCAGAAGAGGTGGTTTTGTCACTAAACACTGGACCAAGTTTGAATTAAAATCTCAGAATACCGGAACATACCGAACATACCGGAATCATAGTCTCATAATAGTATTCGGTATCCTTGCCACTAAAACATATGGGATTTAAAATCTACAAATACTTTTAGACCTTCTAACCACTGGGGCATGCCGGCATCAAAATCTCCAAAAAATTTTGGTATTCTTGCCACTAGAACATATCGGAATGAAAATCGCCCCTAAGATTTACAACGTCCACCTAGAGCCACCCAGAACCAAAAAAACTTTTTAGGTTTTTCAAAAATGTCACCTACGGAATTTTTTGAAGCATAACATTTCGAGAACTTATCACTTATCAACAATATTACCAATCGAAACAAATACTAAAATACAAATTATAACTGTTGAATTATTTCTACGCCAATAGTAGAACAATGGAATCCGTTAGTGGATAAATATAGGAGTGTTTCAATTTGAAATCGAACACTAAACTACTTTGTAGGTAGCATTCTATATATAAACTTCTGTATAGTGACGTAAATGAAATGTCGAAATAGTTTAAAGGAAACTGGGTACTAAAGCCAAAGAAAGAGGGAAAGCGAGAGGGAGAGAGAGAGATGGATAGACAGAGACGAGGAAAGAGAGAAAGAAAGACAGATGGAGAAGTAAAGAGAGAGTTCAGATTCAATATTCTCGAAGAGATGTGTAAGGAGGGACACGTAAGTTTTCAAGTTTTCGGTTTGTTGTAGAAAGGCAGAAAGGAGGAGGCGCACATAGAGATTTTTCTTAACCGCCTGGGCAATGTCATTGGCTCGAGAGCTCAAGCAAGCTTTCCTATTCTTCTTTCTATATTCCCTGATCGGCTTATACGGGAATGGATAGCATCTTCGACAATATTTTATTTCGTCGGTTTTATATTCTCTCTCTCTCTCTCACTCCGTGTATGTTTATCTATCTATATATTGTGCCTTCTGGGGTTTTCCACCATTTCCACGCTTCTTGCGCGGATTTCCGGTATCCGGCTGATCCGAAAGAAATCGAAAAGGAGAAAAACAAAAAAAAACTTTAATAAATAGGATAAGGTGAATTGCAAACTTTATCAGTTGAGAATACAATTCTCGAGTAATGGTTTGCAATTCTCTTTATGTATAGTGTTTTTTTTTCTTAAAAATATTCTTCATCATTCCTAAAAATATTCTTAATATATGGGATGATAAAAAGTGAAAAGTGACAAAACAATAAAAAAATATATATAAAATATCATAAGTGATCAGAAGTGAAAAAAGTTTTGTGATTAAAATAAGGATAAGGAGGGTTATTATCATAATTATCATTACTAGCAGCATTAGGAGCATTATTATCATCTCTAGCAGCATCAGCAGCGCTATTATCATTATTATCGTCTCTCCCAGCTGTAGCAGCTTTATCATCAATGCTATCAGGATTATTAGCTTTATTGTAATCACTATTAGCATCAAGAGCATAATCGTCATTACTACCAGCATCAGCAGCATTAATATCATCATTACTATTCAAATCTGCAGCATTATTATAATCCCAACAAGCACTAGCAATATTATTGTCATCGCTAGCATTAACATCTTTAGCTGATACATCATCATCATTACCATCATTAGCATCTTTAGCTGCTACATCATCATCATCATCATCATCATAAGCATCTTTAGCTGCTACATCATCATCATTACCATCATTATAATCTTTAGCTGCTACATCATCATCATCATTACCATCATTAGCATCTTTAGCTACTACATCATCATCATCGTCGCCATTATTTTTCGCTGATGAATTTTTAAACTTGTATCAGGTATTCTTTCTATTAGATCATACAGGAATTAGAATGTTGATCCAGGTTTTCAATAGTTTTATCATCATCATCATTATTTTTCGCTAAAATTGAACCAGGTATTCTTGCCACTAGAACATATCGGAATTGAAAATTTTTTTTCCAGGTTTTTTTTGTCAATACTGTCACAATTAGCATCATTTATATCATCATTAATATTAAAAACTGCAGCATTATTGTCATCGATACAAGCATCAGAAACATTATTATCATCACTACAAGCGTATCATTAGCATCTTTAGCTGCTACATCATCATCATCATTACTATCATTATCATCATTACCATCATCATTATCATTACCATCATTATCATCTTTAGCTGCTACATTACCAGCATTACCATCATTAGAATCTTTAGCTGCTACATCATTAGCATTATTACCATCATTATCATCTTTAGCTGCTACATCATCATCATCATCATTAACATCATTAGCATCTTTAGCTGCTGCATCATCATCGTCGTCGTCATTATTTTTCGTTGATGACTTTTTAAACTGGTATCAGGTATTCTTGCTACTAGAACATACCGGAATTAAAATGTTGCTCCAGGTTTTCAATAGTTTTATCATCATCATTATTATTTTTCGCTAAACTTGAACCAGGTATTCTTGCCACTAGAACATATCGGAATTGAAAATTTTTCCCCAAGTTTTTTTTTTATTGACATTATCATTATTTTCTGTTGATGATTCTCTAAACTAGTATCAGTATCGAAAAATAATTCCTGTTCGAAAATTCGATAAAACTCGAACGAAAAAATAATTCCACGACTGAATCCCTTTTTGGGAAAAATATTCCCCAAAAAAGTAAAAAAAAAAATTGCCTCAACACTCTAAATAATTTAAAATCTCCCAAAGAGAAAAATTTTCATGTAATAATAACCACTTCACATATAGATACACGAAAAGTTTGATTATCAATTCCGTGAAATTCTCTCCTCTACATAAATATATATTTGAAATTGGAATTGAAGTTAAATCTGATATTCAAAAGTGGAATGAACAAAAGTTCGTTTCTCTTTTTTTCTTCCTTTTTTGCTGTCCTCTCCCTATTGGGAGTACGTGCCTTTGTGTAATTTTCAGGTTGGGAACGATGGCATCTGTAAAAAATAGTACTAATGGCATAGTTTTGTCTCTGTCAGGAGTTTCTCCCATATCTATTGGGATCTCGCCCTTTTCACGTCCCACTGCTACATTAGGTGCTATATATATTCTTGTGCTTCCAAATTCGCGAAAGAGAGAGAAAGAGAGAGATAGAAACAATCAGACGAATAGTGGCTCACTGGACACGCGAGAACCGTCACAAATCGAGGGAAACGATAACGTCGTAAATTTTATCGTCACGCACACATAGAGAGAGAGAGCGAGAGGCACAATGGACTCATTGCAATTTTGCATTGTTTTCGTTTCGCATAATGGTCATTAGGCACTTCGTGGTAGAGTAGAATTTAACCTTTTTGATTGTTTGGTGAAATTATTCAGAAACTTTACTTTCTGGTAGAAAAAAATACACTAGAAAGTGTTTCCTGGGAAAAATTTTTTGGAATTGGCAATAAAATTTCCGACGGGATTCCGGTAAAATTCCGGTTAGAATAAACTCGTAATTTTGACAATATTTCGATTAGTTTCAGGCAGATTTTCAACTAAAATACGAATTACGACAAAATTTCGACCGTAATATAAAATTTGACGAGATTTTAAACACAAATTTTTTGTTCAAATTGGAATTTCGACGAATTTTTGACGAAATTTTAAAATATAACCAAAAATAATGTAATTTCTGACCAGAATTTGTCGCAAATTTCGGTCCAAATCACAATTTTGACTATTTTTCGATGGAATTCGAAAACATTACCGAGAATAATTCAAATTTTGACAGGAATTCGTGACAAATTTCGGTCAAAAACACATTTTTGACTAATTTCCGACCAGAATATAAATTTGGACGGAAATTTAAACACAAACTTTGGTCAAAAACAGAAATTTCCGACAGAATTCGGAAACATTAACAAGAAGAATATAAATTCTGACCGCAATTCGTCACAAACTTCTGTTAAAAATAGAAATTTCCATCAATTTCCTACGGAATTCTGAAAGATTAACCAAAAAAATTTAAATTCTGTCCGGAATTCGTTACAATTTGTCAGAAATGTAGGTCAAAATCACAGTTTCGATTAATTTCCGACCACAATATTTTGAATAAAAATTTTTGAACCAAATTAGAATTTTAACAATTTTCCGACAAAATTACCAACAGAATTGAATTTCTTACATGATTTTAACTAGATTCTAAATTATTTCTGATCATGGTCAGAAATTCAAATAATACAATTTGCTACCAAAATTTGTCGCAAATTCCATCCAAAAAATGGATTTTCGACTTATTACCGTCTAAATTTTAATACATTTTTGATCGGAAAATGAATTTCAACAATTTTCCGACCGACAGTTTTTTTTAAAATAAAATTTCCGTAGAGATTCTGACCACAATTTTGAATAGAATATAAATTCTTAATAATTTCTACTACTAAAATTTCTATATAAATTAGAATTTTTACAATTTTTCGAAAAAATTTGCATTAGAATTGTAATTTTGATGTGCTTTTGACTAAATTCTGAAAGATTTTAGACTATAATTCAAATCACGAGTAGATTTAGATTAAAATAAGATTTTAGTTTAATTTCTGACTAAATTTCAACTAATTTTTGGTCGAAATATAAATTTCATCAATTTTTCGACCGAAATTTTTTTTTAAAAGAAAAGTTCCAAAGAGATTCCGACCACAATTTTTATTGGTAAAATTTAAACCTGAAACCGAATTGAATTATTCACTTTTTTTGACAAGAATCTAAATTATTTCCGACTATAGTCAGAAATTCTGTCCCTTTTAATAAAAATTTGAATTTTCGACTAACTTTTATCAAAATTTCAATCAGAATATGAATATCAACAATTTTTCGACAGAAATATTGTTTTAGAATAAAAATTCCAAAAAGATTCCGACTACAATTTTAAAAAGAAAAATATTAACTTTGACTTCTTTTGTAAAAAAATTGGATATAAATTTGAATTTTAACCATTTTCCCAAAAAATTACGATTAGAAAATTAAAATTTTTATATTCTATTTTTGACTAGATTTTAAAAGACTTCCGACGATAATACAAAATAAGAATAGATTCTATTGTTATTTCTCAACAAAATTAAAATTTCGACTAGATTTTAATATATTTTTTATCTGAATTTTAATTTCAACAGAAATTTTAAGTTTGAAATAAAAATTCCAGTGTACATGAGAATTTCAACTAATTTCTGACCACTTACATAAACTTTCGACCAGAATATAAATTTAAACCAGATTTAGACCGAGACTTGGATCAAAATAAGAAATTTAATGTGGATTCTCAACAAGATATTAATAAAAATTTTTTACTAGAATTTTCTTCTATAGTCAAAGATTTTGATTAATTTATTTTTTCGTAAATTCCGACCACTTGTATTCAAATTGGAAGAAGAAATTTTGGCACTATTTCTAAATGAAATTTAAACTAAAAAGAAAGCAGAATTTCTGAAAAAATAAATTATTAAAAATTTTTTATTAATTTTTTAATATTTTAATTTCCGACCATGATAAAAAATGATTTAGAATCGAGTCAAAAACAAGTAGAAAAAATTCAATTATCTGTTAGTAATTTTTTTCGAAAATTTTGACGGAATTCCGTCGGAAATTAATCGAAATTTCTGTTTTTGACCAAAGTTTGTATTTGAATTTCCGTCCAAATTTATATTCTGGTCGGAAATTAGTAAAAATTGTGTTTTTGACCGAAATTTGACTAATTCCTTACAGAATTAAAATTTTTATTGATGTTTCAGAATTCCAGTCGGAAATTCGTCGAAATTATGATTTTGACCAAAATTTGTGACGAATTCCGTTCAGAATATTTTAAAATCCCATCAGAAATTCATCGAAATTTCTGTTTTTGACCAAAATTTATGTTTAAATTTCCATTCTTTATACTCTGGTTGGAAATTGGTCAAAATTGTGATTTTGGTCGAAATTTGTGACGAATTCTAGACAGAATAAAATTTTCTTGTTGTCACAATTTCTAATTGGAATTTAAACTAAAGGGGAAGCGGAATTTCCGAAACAATTTTTATTAATTTACTTTTTTGTAAATTCCGACCATTTTTATTCTAATTGGAAAAGAAATTTTGTCACTGTTTCCAAATGGAATTTAAATTAAAAATGTAGAACAATTATTTAAATTTCTTTTATTTTTTTTTCGACAATGTTGAATAATTTTTTAGTAGCATATTTTTTTTATTAGAAATAAAAAGAAAATTTAAATGAAACTAAATATTTTGTATAATTTAGAGACAAGAAATCTTCCCCCCAAAAAAAAAGAAATAAATAAAATCTTTACTAACCCTTGAATAAAATATTTAAAATTCTTTCCGATCTCGTGCATAACTCTCTAGATTCTCTGGATTTGATCCTTCCACTCACCCTCTCTCTCTCTCTCTCTCTCTTTGCAAGCGCATTGAGAGAGGCTTGGAAACCAAAAGCCGTTGATTCGAGATTTGTCCAGCGGGAACACACGTGTTCTCCTCTAATGCTACTTATTTATTTACTATTGGACAGGACTCACTCACTCAATCTCTCTCTCTCTCTATCCCTCCATTTCGTGTATCGTAAACCCAATCCGGATCTAAAACTTGTCTATAGCTCCACAACTCTCTAGTTCTGTAGAATTTTCTCAAAAATAAAAAAAATGAGAAAAAAAATATTTTCTTTCAAATAATATTGAATGTTTGTATGGAAAAATAATATTTTGTTGAAACATCTCGAAAATACAAAAATAACAATTTTTCAGAATATTCTGACCTATTTTTCGTTTATGTATTTTGTGTGTGACTGTGGAAATAATAAAAAAGGGAAATGAAAATAATTTACAAAAAAAAAATGCTGGAGATTTAATATTGAAATTGAAAAAATTGTGTATACAGACTCAAATCTTTTTTATGTTTACAAATTTTTGCCACACAATTTTGATCAGATTATTTTAGGAATTAGAGATTGTAGAACAATAATCTGGTTCATTCTAGGACCTACTAAGTCTATAACATGAAAGATTGTTCTAGAACCTATTAAAAGTATTACCTAAACATTGGTTCTAGAACCAACTCAGTCTACGACCTAAAAGATTGAGTTTGTAACCTAAAATGTTGTTCTAGAAACTATTAAGTCTATAACCTAAAATTATGGTTTAGCACTTATTGAGTCTACAACCTAAAAGGTAGATGTAATATTTTTTGGGTTTGTAACCTATAAGGTTGTTCTATAACCTACTGAGTCTATAATCTACCATTTTCTTCTGGAACCTAATGAGTCTATAACCTAGAAACTTGTTTTAGATCCTACTCAGCCTACAACCTAAAATTTTGTTCTAGAACCTATTGAGTTTAGCACCTAAAATGTTGTTCTATAACCTACTGAGTCTATAATCTAGAATTATGTTCTGAAACCTATTGAGTCTATAACCTAGGAAGTTGTTCTATAGAACCTACTCAGTCTACAACATAAAATATTGAGTTTGCAACCTAAAAGGTTAATCTACAACCTATTGATTCTATAACCCGAAAGGTTGTTCTAGAACCTTTTGAGTTTATCACCTAAAATTTTGTTCTAGAACCTTTTGAGTTTAGCACCTGCAATGTTCTTCTATAACCTACTGAGTCTATAATCTAGAATTATGTTCTAGTACCTATTGAGTTTAGCACCTAAAATGTTGTTCTATAACCTACTGAGTCTATAATCTAGAATTATGTTCTGGAACCTATTGAGTCTATAACCTAGGAAGTTGTTCTATAGAACCTACTCAGTCTACAACCTAAAATATTGAGTTTGCAACCTAAAAGGTTGATCTACAACCTATTGATTCTCTAACCCGAAAGGTTGTTCTAGTACCTATTTAGTCTATAACCTAAAATTTTGTTCTAGAACCTTTTGAGTTTAGCACCTCAAATGTTATTCTATAACCTACTGAGTCTATAATCTAGAATTATGCTCCGGAACCTATTGAGTCTATAACCAAAGAATTTGTTCTAGAACCTACTCAGTCTAAAACCTAAAAGATTGATTTTGTAACCTGAAAG